CATTTCTGTGGTGAGATTGGTGTATCTGCCACCAGCATGGCAATTACAATGGCAAATTTGGGAGTAAATCAGGATAACGACCTGATTCAGGAGTCTTGTTGCTCAGAAAGAGAAATCTTCATGCCACTGCTGCTGTTGAAAACAAATTAATAACAACTGTGTCCAGCTATTGATAATTTGTGTTAGCACAGACCTGCGAGTCGCTATTATCTCTTCCTTCCCAGACAAATCACCTTAACAAAGCACTGTTACGGACCATTCACAGGTAGCTTGAACATTATTATTGTTATTGCAGTATCCCCAAGAAGATAAAAGATCTATTCACAATGGCTAGAGAAAAGGAACGGGCTCAGCAACTGCTAGCATGTTCCAGTGACTATGAGGGGAAGATCACGTGAAAGGAAAACCAGAATCTGAAGGCCAAATTTCTTTCGACACTGTGTGCAAGTAAAAGAGGGAATACTCATGCTCTGGAACTCAGAGACTAAGACACTTTTCTTCCTTTGCACCCCCAGAGGCATTATTTCACTTGACAGTCATGAACAAGCTTCCAACTGGCTAAATAGTTTGTACATGGAGTTAAATATATAGAGGCTTGAGATGCAGTACGAATCTGCCTATGTGGCTGGCGAGAGGTATTTGCCACTTTGTACAGCTGACAAAAACGCAGGTGCCGTAGGCCACGGTACGGGGTTCCGAGGAACAAGGTGGGCAGGCCAGGGCATTAGGCACTAATACACTCTCTAGGGAAGGAGGAGTAGACAAGGGCACAAGGGAAGTGCTTCATTATATTTTAAATGGGAACACTTCCAAGGATTGGAAAGCCTGTGGTGCTTGTAAAGGATTAAGTAGGGTAATGTGCTTTTTAAGAAGACATAAAGAGCTATGAAATGTGATATGTTTAAGCCTAAATGATTTTTCTTGGAGTCCTCAATGAATGTTTAAGCAAGCATGACTTAGGCCTCCATAAATCCCCTCTGAATAAATAACTACCATGAAAACAGAGATCCTTTAAACTGTATAAGATGCATATTTCATAACCTATAAAAAAAAACCCAAAAAACAATTTAAGATACATGGAACATTAAGAAACAATAAAGAAAAAAAAATAAGGTTTAGTGGTGTTTTCCTGCTCAAAGGTGTGCTTTAGTGATAGCATGGATGTTTCTGGCTGAAGCCTACAAGCTTCCTGCCAGCCCCCTTTTGTTTTTCCTAGAGTTTTTCTGTCATTTAAGTGTTCAAACTACAACCTTTGCAAAACATCTGTCCATCACACCACACGAGGGCATTAAGGCATTATATATGCCTTTATTGGAAGTTTGTCCACAGAGGCTCCGAGCCTCACTTTTTGATCCTTGTATTCACAAACACAAAACATGCCTATTAAGATATTTCATAAAAAATTATGTCCAGAGATGGAGAAACCATAAGAACTCCAGAAACCAGCCTCTAAGTGCTTAAGGCACAAGGGACTACTGCAGGAAAATAAACTTTGGAATAAACTTTCCTTTGCTTTGTCTGTATGTTTACACACACCTGAACACTACTCCTGACTTCAGGAGGATTGTTTTGTTTTAAATAAATAATCAGTAGGTTATAAACATGGAAGATACACAACTTTTCACTGCTTCTCCCTCATCTCTTGTGCTTGCCTGCAGAAAGGGGATCCAAACCAAATGTTGAACTCCGTTAGCAGAAGAAAGCTAGAAGTTACCAATGCAACCTGTGTACCCCAATAGGCATTTTCATAAACATGCATGTGAAACTGACTTGTACAGACATCCCCCCAGCAAAAGTATGTGCACTACAATCAGCCCCATCTCTGTGCTATTACAAAATTGGAAGCTATCTGACTTGCTCGTGCTCTGAAACGTGGTTCTTTGATGCTACCATTTGCAACTGGCTATTCCTGGAAAGTAAGGGTACGGGAAATTAAAGAACCCAAACAGTGCTGGTTTGATAGCTTTGCAGACAGCAACTGCCCTGTTTCCAGGAATTAGAAATCAAAAGCTGTAATCTGGAATTACCCGCCATCATGATGCACTGGTTGCTTTTTTTTCAGCTCAGTGCCATTAGTCAACACACAACTGTGATGTGCCCTGGTTTTGATTCTCTTGAAACCCTTAATATAACTTCGGATGGCAAGCCAGGAGGTTTGGGGGTTTGTTTTTAAGGAAGAAACACAGCTTTATCAGCCTCATACAAACTGAACTGAAGTATATTTTCTCAAAGAAGCAATTTCCTCCGGCCAATAAATCTTCTGACTGTCTCTTTTTCCTGCTCTTTCAGCCTTTTTTTTTCCTAAATTTGTTTCACAAGTCCAGTTCCCTGGGACCTCTCATGCCTTTTTCCATGCTGCTTAGTCTTTCAGATGGGAAAGTATGATACCAGTTAGACTTCACTAATCCATCCCTCTGTATAAAGGTGACTTTACAACTATGTTTTAGGCAAACAAATATAAAATTTCATGTATATTTGTTCTAATTTATTCTAATTAATCTTCACATTTCAAAGCCTAAACCCAAGTCTACAAAGTAGTAGCTTTATGGAGATTTGGATTTAAAACTCAGTGTGAAGACAGAGTGTCAGAGACCAAGTTTGTGCTTAGTCGCTCTTTAACCAATATTCAGTCTCATTCTGAACCCTGCCATGGACTGCTGGCTCTTCTACAGAAATTGTGGCTGTCAATCAGAAGCACGGGAGGGAAACACCGCGCTCACAAGCATAGCGGCAAAGTTGACTACTGCTCTTAATTCATGTTCCCTGCGTTAAACTCACTGCCTGTGACTTTTTTTTTTCTCCCTGAACAAGGCCATCTTTTTTTTTCCTGTCTGCGTTTCTCAAAGCAAATATGACTCAGAGCTACACGTGAAAGCCAAGCTTTTTGGTGTCAGAAGGCTACAAAAACAAGTTAATCAGTGTCTTGTATTCAAACTACTTTAAGTTTTGCACGGTTCATTGGTCTTCTGGAAACCCTATTCCTATTTTACATCCTGACAAATGCCTTCATCTCTCAAACCCATAAATCCTTTCCAGAGCAAATACTGTAGGTGTTTACATTTCAAAATGTGGTGGAAAACAAGCTCCCTAGCTCCGAAGTCCCGTCCTCAGTGCTGATGCAATGGACTTCTCATTAACCTTGCAGAAACTGATGCTAAGCACAGGCATCATCCAGGTGCAAATGCATCTCTACTACTTAAAAGCAATAAATTAAGCAAATGTGGCAGTGCAACAGAGCATCCTGAAGGGGAAGGAACAGGTGAGGCATTACCAGTACCTTTTGGATGCCCGCGGTGGATTCCAAGACGTTGTTCTCGGAGCCGTTGCTTCTGTTAATCATGCGCCACATTTGGGAATACATGCTGTCCCTCTCAAAAGGATTCATGCCTTTCACCCGCACGTGCTCGTAGACAGCCGAGTCCAGGACGGTGCCGTAAGGAATATCCGTCTGCCTGGAGAGGTCCTGGAGAGACCTTAATTGTTGGTGAAGAAAAGAGACAGAGGAGACTTGAAGCCACGATTTCAAGAGGAAGGAGCTGCAGGCAAGCAAGGGGCAACACAGGGGAAGACAGCTGTCCAGCCTTTCTCTTTTGCTGCTTGGTCTTCATTTTCTTAAAAAACAATGTGAGGCTGGAAAAATGTTTTTATGGTTTAAGCCACAAAGAGGAACACAAAGTGAAACATCAAGTGAAAGGGAGGGGCAGGGAAACGGAAGATGGATGGAGAGAGCAACAGGAGGAATAACACTGTCAAACACCAAGAGCTCTACGGACTGTTTCAGACCCTCCAAACACACGCAGGGAATTACACTGAACGGCAACAAAAACCCAGCCCCTGGCAGTGAGGATGACCTTGTGGCTCCCCGTTTACACGGCAAGCAGCAGCTCTTTGGTGCATGACATCCATCACGCACCAGGCTTCATTCAGAAAGAGGAAGACTCCTGTTAGGTTTTTGTGAACTGATGGTTCATGTTAATGTGTCCAATAAATTTGCTTTGTTTCATACATTATCTAGTATTATTCGCTCTCTATAAACTAGAACCAACTAGTTCAGAAGATTCCAAGCACCTCAAATATGGCTTTACTAATACTTCTTTGGCCTTAAAAAAGTATATTAGAATCCCTTAAAGCATCTAGTCCTTTTGGCCTTTATTTTCATATACCACAGTATTGCTGTCCCATACCTATATTTCTTCAGTAGCATTCATTACAGTTTCAAAATAGCTACTGCAGTATCTCTAGTGCCTAAGATCCATCTGTCCCAGCTTTTCTGGCACAAATTAGTTTTGTATAAACTGCACACATCTAATGAACAGCACAAGGGCCTGAGTATGGTCTTAAAGTAGACAATAGCAAACTGCAAAAGCCCACTGCAGCCACAAAAAAAAACCCCGAAAGCAAAAACAAATGTATGAAACTCAGCAAATTCCACACTGCATTTTTGAAACACGTAAATACAGAGGCTAGTGCAAACGGCCCCAGAGAAGGCAAAAATACAGTTCTTAGATGTTGCAAGGGTGAGACTTAAGAAAACAGTAATCAAACCTGAAAGGACGCGTGCGCCACTGAACACAACAGGAAGCAGGGAAAGAAAGAAGGAATCGATACAGCTCAGTGGAGAGGGTTTAGAGGTTAGCTGAGTCAAAAAGAAATCCTTTGAAATTCAGACATATGGGCTTAGAAGAACACTGAGCAAGAGCTAAATTCTAAGCAGATAATATATAGGAAATATCAAGAGGAATAAAATTAATTTTAAAGAGCAAATACCTATTTTTTAAAATAAATCTTCCTTTTCTCCAATAAGATGATATTCTTCTTCAAGAACATAAGCAACAGGGAAGCTACAGAGAATCAGTGCATATACAGGATCATCAAAGGTGAGCTGCCAGATGAAGCTTGAGCTGAAACCAATTCTACTGGTCTTGTATCTGAGAACTCACTGAGACTTACCCTTTTCTAGAAAGAAAAATGTGAAACTCTACAAGCTTAAGGCACCAGAAGAATAGATGCTGTACCCAATCTGTAAACTAAAAAATAGAAAGTTATCAAGTTCAGATAGAAACTGTAAGTTCTAAAAGAAAAAAACATGAAAGGGCTGAGCTGTTAGCAAAAATAAGAAATCTCATTACAGTCACTGCATGAAATATTTCTTAAAGATACTAGTGTTGATCAGTGAAACTGCAGAAGAAAACAGCTAAGATGTTATCCTCCTGTTTTATAAACTGTAACAAGGACTGACATAATTTTTAAGATCAATCCTGAAGATTAGGCACCCTCACAAGATTTCATCAGGAAAAACGATTTAATCACTTGTTACACTTTGAAATGGCCAAAAAAATCCCTATGCTTTTCAGAAGGTCTTCACCAAAAAATACACAGGAGCTGGAAGAAGGGTCAGGCTGCAAAGGGAGACTTTAGAAACCTTAACGGTGCAAGCCAGGATGGCATCAACGAGGCCCAAGCTCAGCTAGAATGGATGTTCTCCAACCATGCCAAGGGTTACAGGAAGGGCTTCTGCAGAATTAAAAGGCTGAGCAAGGAAAGTGCTGACCTATCAGGTGAATTGGTGCCAAAAGATGCAGCTGAGGTACTCAAAATCTTCTTTGCACCTGTCTTCACCAGCAAGTACTCAAGGCCTCTGTGATTAGAGGCAGGATTCAGAGGAGTGATGAGCATCTAGCAGTGGGTAAGGGGTGAGATAGGGACTGCCCAAGACAACTTGAATCACAGAAGTCTACAGAATTTGATGGGCTGCATCCAAGAGGGCTGACAGCTGGACAACATCCTTGCAAGGTTGCTTGCTATCATCCTTGAAAGGTGAAAAAGGTTGGAGCAGATCTTCGATTAGTGGAGAAGAGCAAATATAATGGCTGTCTGAAAACGACCAAAAGAACGATCCAGGGAACTACAGGCTGATCATGATGCCTTTGCTTCCATTTCTGGAAAAAAAATCATGGAGAGCAAGTCCTGGACGTCTCCAGGCACATGAAAGAAGTGGTGGCACATAGATTCAGCAAGGGTAACTCATGCCTGACCAACCTGATGGCCTGCTATGATAAAATGTCTGGGTTTGTGGACAAGGCTGGAGTGACGGTTGTCATCTGCCTCAACTTTCCCAAGGCTTTTGATGCTTGCCCCACAATATTTTTGTATCCATTTTAGGACATTATGGTCTGGTTGAGTGAAAAATTAGTTGGGCAAAAACGGGGATGGATAACTGGGTTGACAGAGTAGCAGTAAATGTGTTGTACCCTGCCCATAGCCCAATAATAAGGACAAGAGGGGTCTTTCTTGGGACATACCCTGTGTAACACCTTGGTCAATATCCCAGAACACTCTTGTCGAGGTTGCAGATGGTCCCAAGTTGACATGCTCAAGGGCAGGGCTGCCATTCAGACAGGTCTAGAGAGGCTCAAGGAGAGGTCGAGAGGAGCACTGTGGAAGTCTATATGGACAAAAGCCAAGCCCTGCACTGGGAAAGGAAAACGTCCCTGCAACCATACAGCCCAAGGACGGCGAAGCCCCCCTGCAGAGGGGCTCATGTCCTGGTAAGGATTTTCACTCTGTCTCACTTTCAGGCACAGTATTGTACAGAAGTAGCTGTGCTGCTGCCACTTTAATGGTCTATATATCTGTCAACAGCATGGCTGATGAAAGGCAAACACCAGATAGTACATTCCCCCCGTCCCATGTCGCTGCTGCTGCCGTGATAAACTCCTCTATCTCCCGGCAGTCCTCAGGAGAGCAACCAAGGCAGCCCCAGGAGGCGGCTCGTAACGCCCTGCACCTGCCGTGCTATTCGCCAGACACACGCGGAGAGAGCATGGGAAAAGTCATCACCGAGTCCCCCCTTCCCAACGACAACACCCAGCAGAGCTGTAACCAGCAGTTTGCAAGGCCCCCTGCAGCCGTGTCATTTCTAACACAGCAGGCAGGTTTTGTCTGGGCAGGTGCTTGGCCGCTTTTGGACAGGAAACCCCAGGTTTGGTTCACCTGGCTCTCCTGCACCGAGCAGGAAAGCGGCTGGCGCGCGTGCACGCCCATGCCCACGACTTCAAGATTCAGCAATGGAAAAGAGCTCTCACAGCACCGACTTCATCCCCTCGCAAAAACCAAAACATGCCACACCATATATACGATCTGCCTCTGAAACTGGTTTTATAGCCTGCATCTCTGCAGGCTTCTAGAGTGACATTCACAACCTAGCAGCCAAGATACAGGAAAACAAAGCAAAAATGACAACCCTTGACAGAGCAAATAAAATTATGAAACCACTGAGGTTCCTTTCCAGAAGACAGAGTTTTTATCACCGCTTTGCCTGCAGCCTAGTCTCCAAGTTACACATATTTTTTTTTGTCCCATGTACCTTTATTCCTGGATTCAACAACTCATTCTCTGTTCAAACAAATACGTTTAGTGGAGACATAAATCACCAGCCTCACTGCATCATCCTGGCTCACCGTAGAGCTGCCAGATTAGATCTCAAAATGACAAACGAGTATTTTGTCAAGTTGCTGAATTCATGCAAGGTTATTCTTTCATACTCAAGTCCAGATACTATCAGCCACAGTGGATAGTAACTTAATTTTGGGGTAGTTTTAGTGATCTCAGTACAAACAGCTGTGAAGCAAAGCAAACATCTAGCATGACTAAGGGTATTATAATCCAACCGTTTTAGAGATTTCTCTATTCAAATGTTCCAAATTAGAAGCAATAAGTTAATAATGCTTGAAAAATCGAAATTGGAAATATAAAGAAGCAATAAAATTAAAAAAAAATGCTATAAAATGAAACGTGCTTAATTCAACTTCTACATAGAGAAATTCTACTTACAGGGAATGATACTAAAAGGGACTATGCAGTAAAATGAACAAGTTACAGTTCAGTTTAGCTTTGGTTATCACTCACAAAGCATTGTGGAAAAAAACATTGTGTGTGTGGTCTGTATAATATGTTTTTTTTCTCATTGTAATTATTAGGATAATACCAGCATTATCCTATATAACATTAGCAACATTGTAGGTCTATTTCTGAAGAAGAATCAACTAATTTGAGAATAGATTATTACAATTACATGTATTTTTCAGCATTTGTTGAGCATGTTTACTGCTCTGTACCTTAGCTGGGTAGCAGTTGTCTGGCTGCTTTCATTTTCTGGCTTGGTACAAATTGAGGCAGTAAACAGAAGGGTTCTTTTGTAATTAAAAAAAACCCCTCTCTTTTAGGCTTAAATAAAAAATCCTAGGTTAAGTTTGGCAAATGTTTCTTTCCTCAAATTATACTTTCTCCTATCAACTCAAATCCCAAATTTGGGACTGGTAATACATGGTTTATGTATGCCCACCAATGTGGTTAAAAGCCACACAGAAAATACATTAAAAAGGCCAGTTCCACAAAGGAATAACTAAATCCCTGTTTAGGTGATTAAATCCCATTGATGTCACAGAGCTAAGCATGAAAATACCTTCGTAGACCTGGGTTATAGATTCATTTGGCTACCTGTGTTACTGGGTTTGTCTGCTGCATATAACTGCAAGAAAGTAGCCACTAAATATTAGGAGGAAACAACTGATCTGATTGCTTTCACTGAAGCCTTGATTTATGACTAATTCAGATAAAGCTTTCCTATGCATTTTCCCTTTTTCTGGGACATTAAGGATTAATTCAGAAGCAGGCTTAGGAAGCAGAGCACAGTAAACCAGGAGATTTGACTGCTGGCAGTGGCAGCTGTGTCAGAAACTAATAATATTGCCTGCTTGTTAGATTAAAGATGTGCACGAGCCACACGACAGGAAAGGTTAAAGAATACTCTGTTTCTCAGAGCAAGGAAATATCTCCTCCAATTACTGCTAAAGAAATGGTGTGTAACCCCCTTGCAGAAAAGAGGTAAGCAGTCATATCGAGCTGGGTAAAGCCCTGGGGACATCTCAGCTTCATGTGAATCACGAAGGTTTAGGAGAAAAAAGCTGCAAGAACAACAAGTGGCCAAAGCAAGCATGACCCAAGGCAGCTTTACCACTACGTGCTCGTTACTTGGGAGCACAGACCTCACCTACCAGAGAGGAGGCCCTGCTTGCACCTTGGAGAGCGTCCTGTCTATTGGTTATTCCACAGAAGGCTTGCAAGACACAGGCTCTCCCTCGCAACACCCGCAATCGAAAACCTTCATCAGGTGTCTACATTTTTATAAGTTTATCTGGGTTAGATTTGGTCTTGAAGCCATCCAAGATTTGCCAACTCCTATGACAAATCCTACATTTTTCCTTTTTTTTCCACTCTCTCGATGCAATTTTCCCACAAAACTCCCTTGTGAGAAAGCAACAACATCCTCACTTTATCCATTAAACCAGTGCACCTAACTCTGAGAAAAACCAGCTTTCCTGCCTTGGTAAAACACAGTAATGATCACAGTGGCTCAGCAAGGAAAATCCCAGCATCAGCATCTGCAACAAACAGCCTGAGACCCCCAGGTTTCTTGGGCTTTTACCAGGAAAAGTCCCTCTTGATCACCATCCATCCGTGTTGCATTTGAGCCAGTCATCTAAGGATTTAAGGAAAGATTTAAGTTATGCTTTGCTGTCTTTGCCTGCTGCACTAGCCTGGTGCTGGAAACGCCGACTGTCTTGATTTAAATGTCATCTGCATCTGGGTCAAGTGTGAATAAAAGATGCATCGAGGAACGAGCGGGTGCCTCGCACTCCTCGAGCTTGGGATGCTGCCCAACAAAGGGTCATTTTAGGGGGGAAAGGAGACAAAACTCATTGTTACCCTTCTTCCTCTGGCTCATTTAAAACGTCAACATACCCGATCAGATTAATAATCAGTGAAGCCGAGAACCATCCACATCCAATGCAAGGCACCCAGCAGGGCTCTACATTGAGACTACCTAGGGACAGGGAATGTTGCACGCGCTCTTCCAAGTGCGTTTTCTAACACGACTCTGCGCACTCGTCCTCTCACACTGGCTTTTGGATACTGTGAGGCTGTGACTCAGATGACAGCCCCGACCAATCCGCTGCTATCCAAAGGGAACCAGAAGAGGCTCTGAAATCAAACTGGCTAAGCGGGCAAAAGCTGAAAGCTTTTGCTTTGAAAGCAGTAGTGAACCCGAGTGTTTCTTAGACACGAAATACATCGTGGGCTGGCTGAATCCTCCTCTCTTTTGTAAAAGATATCACTAGGACAGTACCTTCAACAGCACACGCTACCTGGTGCTAGCTAGAAATCTAAAATGAAATCCTATTAACCGTTTTTATGTCTGTGCAAACCCACTGACTTCTCTCTCATTTATCTGACTTCCCCAAAGCTGGCTGGATATCACAACAAGCAGAAGCTGCTGTATTCTCTTTAAATACCTAAATCCATTTCCATTCTGGCCTTCAAAGCTCCCCAAGGTACAATCTGATCTGTTTTTTTTTTCTCTTTAAAAAAAAAGAGAATCAGCTTTTTTCTTTATTGCTTATTTGTATTTCCCACTTTGCAGTAACTCAGCACAGTAAACAAACAGCCTCTCCATTATGTGCTGGTTTGAGTTCCAATCTTGGCAGTTTTGTAAACTAAAGTTTTACACTCCCAGCACAGTTAGGATAACTTCATTCCCTAATGGATACTTAGCACATCTAATTACTCTATTTTTGAGCTACGAACACTGCTGAAAAATGTCTCTGTTCTTTCATTTCAGGAGCTTTCCAGCTGCAACGTTTTCTCCTGAATAAAACATTTTCAGTGAATTCGCCCATAAATAATACAGCACAAAGGCCAATGTGGTCCCAACTGTACATAATAACCTCGCGATTCCACTGAGGGCTTTCTGGTGGCAACATAATAAACTGCAAGGAAAAGCTAAAGATGTCTTAAATTATGGCTTGGGCAATTTTATTCTTTCTTTATATATCATGAGCAAATCTGGACACTTTTCAGTCATTTTAGCACTTTTCTGGATGACTTCAAAACCAGAAAGGGCCTAATTTCAAAGTAGGATGCAATAACACACTGGATATCTGTAAGGCGAAGCTGGATGACGGAATATATAGGCACAAGTTGATCATTATTTATTTTGCATGTACAAATGCTCATGTTGTTTCCTCACGCTCCTTGGTCAACCCTAAGGCTTATTAAACTTTTAAAAAATAAATAAAAACCTCCAAATCAATGCAGACCAACACTGACACAGAATTTCATTTTACTCCCCTACCCAAGGTGAAGTGATTATACCTGGGACAGGCAAGTCAAACAGTTCAGCTGGTTCACAAGACCCCTACAGCACTCCATGATCTCCAAGCCTGTTATTCTGATCTTAAAGGAAAACAGTAACTCCGTTTAGCTGGTGATGCAACTGGGACAGGCCAATTATTTTATTTTATTTGGTGATTTTAGCCTGTTTTACACGTGCCTGTCTCAAGGTGTGCAGCCCTCAGGTGGACGACAGTGCCAGAAAGTAAAAATAACCACTAGACACACTTCATTTTCAACTGGACTAAGTAAGGACTGGTACTATAGACATGAGCACTTGTCCTCAGGACACCACCTCCTTTCTCCCTCACCCGAGGAACAAGAAAAAGTACAGAAAACTCTTTATAGACCTTGGCTAACTACTGCTTTACTCCAATTGCGGGGGCCACTGGGGAGGTGGGAGAGACGGTGACTAGAAACCAAATGACAGCAGTAATGGTAGGAGACCTTGGGAACACTCTTAGGGCATATAGCAATGAAAACACTTTGAAAGAAGAACTGGAAGATCAGACAGAAAAAGTTAACCATAAAAGAAGCAGAGGACAAGGACAATATGTTAGGGAGACATGGAGCAAAAGAAGAAATAGATGGAAGGAAGAGAACAGGAACATCGGGTAATGTGGTGAAGGAACAGTTCTGACTGATCCCAAAGACACTATATCTCCAGGAGACTCGGAGTCTGTGGTTTATCATTACTTTGTTAGTTTAAGTTTGCATTTACACATTAAGGCCCTCCCACATGCGTTCAAGCAAACTCGTTTCTCTCAACCCATTCTTTATCAACTTACTGGATGGAGTTCTCTATGCGCGTGATGGTGAGGAAAGCCGCCAGGTTGGCCGTGTAGGACGAGATAACGATCAAAGCAAAAAGCCACCAGGCCCCCATCATCAGCCGGGTCGCCAGCGTTGTGTACGGCACTTCTCCTCCTGTGGAAAAGAAGGAAAATCAGAGCTTTCATTTGGCAGAAGGAATCTAGATCTTCACTACTCATGCCCTGCTCAGAGGAACTTGGCTCTACGGTTAGCAGGGTATAACCTCAGTAAACTGGAGAGGACTTCACGCCACAGGAGGCCTGCATCACCAGCTTTCACTGTTTCATCTCTTCTGCTATACTGTCTTTAATTGCAATTCACCTGCCAGTCGCCTTCAGCAATGGAAATCAACCTCAAGATCTCCAAACAGAAAGGGCAAATGTAATTCTTATTATATCCTTTCCTTAAAGATTTTATCTATCAACTTTAATTATTTTTTTCTTGTATTCTTAAGAAAAAGGTTCCCTTCCACCCCCTCTCTCTCAAGCAAAATTCAATAATTTTTTGCAGTTCTGTAGACAGGTGGGTGTAATAATCACATGTACAACTTGCTGGAAGTAAATTTGGATACGCAAAAAAACGCATGTGCTGAAGAACGTAAAATGACTCTGTATTCCCACTATGGCTCACTTAAACTCAGCTGTCACGTAAACAAAACATTAGCAGCTCCTAAACGCACCTATGCTACTGTGTCCCCAAAGAGAAGCTGAGGTGCTAGTGTGAGCATGCCATGTGTCCCAGAGCTCCCTTTGGCAAGCCAGAAAAAGCATCGCATTTTATTCAAATAGCTGCCCCCAAAACACACTAGGCTGCAGTTTTAAAAAGTCTTTCCTCCCTCCATTCTACCAGCTTCAGTCAAAAACACACACACCATGGATTCTTAGATGAAGAAAAACTCTGTTTCCAAAATCCTTGTTTTGTCCTTAGTACAGGTTTGTCAAAGCAACAAGTAACCCAGGGGGACAGGAAGACGCAGCACGCAATCACAGTCCAATGTGCAAGACGTCCATCTCCTCCCCTTTCCCCCATACTCAGCCTTGGGAAAAGTGGTCATTATTTTGAGGGAGGTTTCTCAGATGCAAAATCACAGGTCTCGCTCAATTCAGAAACCACTGGTCTGAGAAGGGCATTTGCAAAAGCAAAAGCAGTTTGTTACATATTCAATATGTAATGTATTGAATATGCACCACCTATACGTATATATAGGTGTGTGTATGCATATACCACCTATAAATATTTAGTGCTTTTTTTCACGTATTTAATGGGAACACACATTGCAATTGTTCCCATGCTAAGTATAAATAAAAGCGTCTTCAGTTATAAATGCAAACTATCTAGACCATAATACCCACATACGAGGGAACAGCTTACTATTTTGTTCAATGTCTGCCCTATGTAAACAAAGTGTTGGGAGCTCTACACTATGATACACTGAACAAATTCAAAGCTCTCATTCTCCTACATTAGTGCAGAGCTGTGTTCTATGTAAAATAATTTTAAGTGAATGCATTTATATTTTGGAATATAGATATTTTGATCTTCTGACTTTTAGGAATCTTTCAGGAATTAAAAGACGAAAACTGTATTAGATCTGCATAGTCAGAAATAAATTCCTTTCTATTTCCAAGGCACTCGGTAATTATCTGAAATAAGAATCTACTGATCACACCAGGAGATATTATTTCAGTATTGGGTTTTTGAAGATGAATGTGAACTTCCACATCCAAAGATTTCGTTTGCTGTCCAGTGTAATTTCACAATTACTTTTAATAGGATACATTCATCTTAAAACAGTTTTTGCAATGTCTTTGGAGTCTTCTATCTGGAAATGAATTTTCATCACATGAAAAGAGCAGACAGCTTTATCAAATCAACCGTGCGTCCTTCTAGCTTCCAGGTGCCAACCCTGCAGATAATCTCTGTCTTCAATGGAAATGTTGGGGACAGCAGAGGGGAAGCCGACAGCCTCTCTTCGTTTTTCAGCTTCATGAATCAAGTGGCATACTCCCAGGGTTTTTTACTGAAGTGAAATCATGGAGAGAAAGGACCACTGAACACACACCGACCTTGTGGGCACGGCGCAAGCTCTGAATCAAGGATGATGCCAACAAGTGCCCACAGAAGCCATCACACACGCTTGGAGTCACATCACTCTCCTACTGCCCGAGGAGGGTCATCTCCTCATACATCTCCAACTACCCCCACCATTCACTGCTTCCTTTTCTACACTAAGCCCCATGTTAACAATAAGCCTTTGTGCAACTATGAATGGGTTCATATCAAAGGGTCTCCAGTTCACCTAGCTGACTGAAGAAGTCTTATACTTTTTACATCTCATAGCATCAGTATGCCAATAAATGATGCTGGAGGACACAGCATGCAAACCACAAACATGGAAAATATATTCCAAAGTAATTCAGAACTCCTGGTCCCTCTCAGCAGCCCTCCCTTGCACTGATGCTTCTTAAAAGAGCCTTTCTCAAGCAACTGCATGGGCCTATGATTTCTGAGCAGCACAGGCAGCCCACTCCACCTCTCCCAAAGAAAGGTTTAAAAATCAGAGGAGACATCCTTCTGCCATAATATCATTTATTTGGCATCTATTAGGGGAGTTAATGCCATACAGTCTTGTTCTATTGTACTGTTTGCTAAGACACTTCACTTACCATGACAGCTCACCTTAGGAAACCTCTTCATTCCCTTCCCCTGATTTTGTTTCTAGAGATAAAACTTCCCAGAGTTTTCTTTCCTGTCCAAACGCGTGTGTTTTCTCAGTGCAGAAGAGCACCGAGTGGCTCAGGAGAACAGCAGCCATCGGCTTCCCATTAGGGCTACCATGAGTAAGAGCTGCAGATCCAACAGTTGCTGTTGCCAGGTAGGAAGCAGCGCGCAGAACGGACACGCATGCACGTAAACCTCTCTGCTTTGAGGAAGCATTTCCAAGGAGTAGTGCCCTTTCGCTTATACGGACTTTGTACGGATCATGTTTGTACGGATCACAGTGTTTTCCAAGACATCTTGGGCCACACTTAAGAGATACGGGCATGCTCACACTCACAGAGGGTGAGAGGAGGGTGCCATGAAAAGCGCACGTGCCTGGTATTGTGTCTCACATCTGCCATGAAGCAAATGGAAACTGAAGACCCTCAGTGGTCCTGAAGCTGTTTTACATTGGTAGGAGATGGGCCTTGGGTGCATTATCCTCGAGACCTGGTGCTACACGGGAACACGGGCATAAGGGAGCACAAACCCCCTCTTCTCATCAAGCACCTACATTCCGCCCACAGCTCCCACTATAACTCAGCCAATTCTTTTAATGCATACTAAAATTCACCTAAACATCTGCCTAGAAATTTTCAGACCACACATTTAGGAAGGAAAAGGCATTTTCTAAAATAAACTATGCCTAGAAAATAAACTTGTAAAAAGAAATTTTGAAAACTTTCTTTAAGTGCTGAATAAACTTAAAAATGACAGTGAAAGCAATTACTTACAGTCCTCTCACTCTCATTTAATGCAGCTCCCCTTCATTAATCCTGGCCCAGTTGAAAGCTGACTTATTCCAATAGGTATACTTAGACTGAAACTTCTTATGAATTTATGTTTATTTCCTTCCCTTTTCCCTGCAGGGGCTTCAAGATAAATATCATCAGAAAAAAAAATAGTCTTGATAACTCAGACAATATGATGTGCAATTATGACAGATTTAAGTATCAGGAAAAACACCTTAAAAGATAAAATGTGAACTTACACAATTCAAGTACTTTTTTCTAATACCTTTTAAGCCATTCTCCCTTTTTAGCGGCAAGTTTAAAGGTTTCTTTGAGTTAAAAATATAATGAGCCAAGATAATATGCAAGAAGAAGAAACAAAATCACGAGAAAAATTACCAAAACAAGGAAAATGAAGATAAAAGCCTGATTCAGAACTATGAAAGTTTGTCAGGAACAAAGTCCTTGCCAACATAAAGAAATGGGGAAACATTTCTTGCAGAAGTTTCAATTGCAGCTGGCATTTCTAAGACCTGGCCTAGTAGCAATGGTCTTGCTGAAAGTGATGCAAGTTTGGTCATTAGTCACTCAGACAGTAAGTGTGCGAGATAACATCTCTATCTGATTTGATATTGATTTAACATCTTCACTGGGAATGTGCAATATTTACAAATTAAATTCATTTGTTCAACAGCTCCAGAAAACCTTTGTTTTGTGCTATCATTAAAGCCAAAAGCTGGGCAGCATAGAGACCAGGATGTGAAAACTTGGAATTGATCTGTACCTAAATTAGCTCCACTGTTTCAACTACTAAGCTGGTTTAGGTAGCTCTGCATGACCTGGCATTGTGCTCGATAGACATTTTTACGTGGGTCAATCATTCATTTCCATCCCACATTTTCCTTCGAGTTTAAAAAATAATAACAGATGTGTTTCAAAATAATAATAGATGTGTTTCAAAGATTAATTATTGAAATGTACTTTGTAAGCAACCACACACGAACTCAAAGAGAAGGCATGAAACATCATTAATCTATATCCGGGATGTGAAAACTCTATTAAATACTATTTTTTTTTTTTTCTGGAAAAGATGTACTGGGAACTGCTGCAGCTTCTCCATACATGGTTAGAGACAGCAGGAAGAGGCAGTTGTGCCTCCAGCCCTTCCTACAAGGGCACTACAAGGATAATGTCCTGCAATGTCTATTTGTGATAACCACAGCAGCATGTGAAATCCCCAAGACTGGGTTCCTATTACAGACACAACTCGGTTTGTCCCCTGGGCTCACCCTAAACGCTTCACAACAGGTCTCCCCTCAAGAACCAGCTGCAGTTGTCAACCACTCCATCAAACATCGGTCATTTTAACAGACATGGTCGCTGCTAGAGGTCTGCATTGGGCTGAATTTCTAGGTTTTGGTCAGATTTTTTTTTTTTTTAGATGAGAATCACCAACGAATTAATATGTTTTGTTGAGAAACTCTAACACTGTCTCACTACGAAGCAGCGATCTTAATTTCATGCAGAGTAGGCAGGTAAAGAAATAAGAGGGTGGGTTATCTGGGGACAGACTTGGGTTGTGCTTTTTCTCACAGATATTCTGCCCACATCTGGTGAATTATC